GAGAGAGAGAGAGAGAGAGAGAGAGAGAGAGAGAGAGAGAGAGAGAGAGAGAGAGAGAGAGAGAGAGAGAGATAATGGGGGGGGAGGGAGGAGAGTAAGAGAGAGAGAGAGAGAGAGATAATGGGGGGGGGGGGGAGGGAGGAGAGTAAGAGAGAAAAACAGATACAGACAGAAAAAGTAAGAAACAGAACCAAAGAGAGTTATTCCTTTTATCTATTCATCACTTTAACACATTTCCCGTTCATCTTCTCGACAAGTTTCATAAACAAACCATCTCCCCTCATATATATATATATATATATATATATATATATATATATATATATATATATATATATATATATATATATATATATATATATATATATATATATGTATATATGTATATATGTATATATATAAAATATTGAACCTCCTCCTCTTCCAGGTAGCTTCTGTATCACTTTTCTACAGATATTCGAAGACTAATTGTGTGCCACGTCCTCTCCCATAATGACCATGTAGTATTCGTGTAATGCTGTCTGTTTTGCGTGAAAATTGAGCAGCTGTTATATCTACCTTTATCCCTCTACTTGACTCAATGCCACAGGGGAAAATTAATTAAAAATGGGGATAAATGCTGTGCTCATTTTTTATATTTTTTGTGAAATGTCTCTGCACATAAATGGCTCTACTAGTGCTTTGCCAATTAACAATTAACAGACCTTGTGATCTTAGGTACTTTGAATTGGCGGGGAAAATGTATTTTTTACTAGTGCTATGAATATCGATGGTGTTATCTTTATTATAAACATTATAATTACTATAATGTTATAAATATTAGTGACAGCAAAATAAGATAGCAAAATATTTTTGTAAATCAAAGAAAAGGGTAAACTGGTGAGACAAGCAGTACTTGCAATTGGCTCATTGGTGACTTAGAACAAGTGTAGCCAACTATGTGTAAAAAAAAACAAACAAGTAACTTACAGTGGACATGGCACATACGTCCCCGTCATGCCTGTCGGCATTGGGTTAAAGGCTCTATTATTATTCAAAAAACAAATGTTCCACTTCCTAAATGCTTGATCATACAGATGTACATTGCTACATGACAATTTTCTTGTATATAACATGGGCAATTACAAAAAAAATTATACTTCAATGTATATATATACACACAAAGATTTTCCCTTGTGAACTGTGGAAAATGAGCATGAGACACATATACAAAACAAGACTTTTCAGATTTTTTTTTTTTGATGTTTGGAAAAAAACAAGGTTATAGTGCAAGAATCAATGTGGGTAAAAAGAAAACCATAATTTCTAAACATTTATTTCATGAATGAACATCAGCAAATCTTCACTCTTCAGCCTATATCTTATAATCTACATATACCAAACAATAACAAAAAGCCTAGAATACCCATAACTCTTATCAACTCTTACGCTCAATTACATGATTATACAAGTTCCCCAGTTTGCTGACGTCCATCCTGAAAAAGAAGAGAAAAAAATACAAATCAATATCTTGTAACGCTATCTCAATGCTGTTCCCAATCTAGCACAACCATTGCAATATCTCAGGGGATTGTCTGCAACATCCGTGGTGGAATCCTCACCCTTTCCCGGTTAGCTTTGGCACGGCCCCTAGCCCTTGTTGCTGAAGAGGACGGCCAACTGGATCCCCTTGAGTTCAAAGTTCTCCTTTTCCCTGAACACTTTCTCGGCCTCCTCTTTCGTCTCGAAGATGGGGTTGGCATAGCTGGAAGGGCAGTTCTTGTTAGTGTCAAGTTATGGAGGGAGAGGGGGGGGGGGGGAAGAAGGGAAGAAAAGAGAGAGAGGAAGACAAAGAAAGAAAGAGGGGAAAAAGCCTATATAAATGTATCCACACTTTAGAAACTTATCTGAAACTTTTTTTTACATTTATAAATCACCCTAAGATTTTGTGCCTATTTAACAAAATTTGTCTTATATTTAGTAAGAAATTGATGAAGATTATGTTTTACTTAAGAGCCACTTTTTATTTATATATTCATTCTTATTTACATATCAATATCTATCTATCTATACACACAAATAATAAATAAAACCATTTTCTTTTTTACCTGGCATCTTAATGCTGTGACGTCATTATTGTTATAAGACTATGAAACATTCATAGGTTATAGAGCTATTACATGACACAAAGTCAACTGAAAATGTCACAAGCTTTGTATAATTTTGACACAGGATGTGGCCTTCACTGAAAGATCCAAAACGAGGTAGCGAAACTTACCGTCTTTCAGAGTTAAGATTGATTGCTTTGGCAGTAGGGAAAGCCTCTTTCAAATCCTCCTCTGTGGTCTCCTCTGGCACATACTCTATGTATAACCTGTAGTTAGACAAAATAAAAGGCTACTAGTACACATTGTTTCATTTTTCCCCACAATCCTATCAACCAAGGCCCTGTCTCGGTATTTCATAGATCTTCAAAGGACAAAGTGAAGGAGAAAAACATGTTTCAAAAAAGAAAAGGCAA